ATAGATTAAATATGGTTTGTCTTTATTAATATTTTTTATAGTGTAGCCTTGGCGAAATTTGTGATTATAGAAGTATAAAATACAATCATAATAGTGTACAAACTTACAATTCCAATTAATTATAGTCGAATTTCGACTACTGCGGGACCTCTAGTATGAAAAATTACATGAAAAGAACACAAGTAGGTACTCGAAAGGGAGAAGAGAGACATAATTCCGTTCAGATCTCCAATAACCCGTACCGTAAATATCTGAATAGCTCGCGCTCCACACCGCTCATTTGTACTGCCGACATTTTAATAATCGCATATTTTTACAAATGCTGCTGTTACAGTAAAAATTAAATAACTTTAAATNACACACTTATAGAGAATATAGAGAAGAAGTGCACAATGTTAATATTTTTTTTTAAATAATGCATAAAATATACTTAAAATCAATAAAGAAAACACTACACACACTACATACCATGTGTTTGACGCACACACGCATGCATACTATTTATTGTCAAACTTTTGTTCTTGACGTCTGTGGTCAAATTGAGAATAGATTAAATATGGTTTGTCTTTATTAATATTTTTTATAGTGTAACCTTGGCGAAATTTGTGATTATAGAAGTATAAAATACAATCATAATAGTGTACATTCCAATTAATTATAGTCGAATTTCGACTACTGCGGGACCTCTAGTATGAAAAATTACATGAAAAGAACACAAGTAGGTACTCGAAAGGGAGAAGAGAGACATAATTCCGTTCAGATCTCCAATAACCCGTACCGTAAATATCTGAATAGCTCGCGCTCCACACCGCTCATTTGTACTGCCGACATTTTAATAATCGCATATTTTTACAAATGCTGCTGTTACAGTAAAAATTAAATAACTTTAAATATTTCCTATCGAGAATACGAAACCATTAATTATTTCAAATTAAATAAATTGACGGCGTTGATTGCTTTAATAAAAACTAAAACATTTAAATGAAATAATTAAAGAATTAACTTGAATGAATTGCGCGAAATTTAAAAGTATTTCGCAAATTAATTGCCAAGCCAATTGACACAAATCACTAAAGGAAAGGCAATAAAAAGGCAATACATAAATATTCTCGATTAATTTCGGTATGAATGTATAAAATGCTCCAGTTAAAAAATAATTATCTGTACACGATTCAAGGCTTATCGTAGGCTACGTGAAGAATCTCTGACAATGAATACTTAAATTATAAACATTTTCAGTAACACCAGTTCTTCTTTAAAAGTATGTATTTCATTATTGGGTAAGGTAAAGTAAGATCAGGTAAGGTAGTGACTACCTTATACTTGTAAAAATAATGCAAGGCTGAAACATCATTTGAAAACCATCCAAAATGTAAAATGGCCGTGAACGCGCTATTACTGCAACACCATCGCACCGCATCCCACGGGCTGTGCGCCGTGTCTTTAGAATTTTAATTAAATTGTTCATTGGCTCAATTAAATCGATTATTAAAAACGGTGCTCGAGAAGCAGGGGTGAAATGTTGCAATTGACGTCCTATATTACAATACTTTACGTTCCATGTGAGTGATTCGTTAATTTTCACATTTTAGCCACTTATAACTACGTTTTTTTAACATTTAATGTATTGTGATAAATGGAGCAGCAATGTATCATCATAGCCTTTGTATCAACTTACTTACCCCTCAGACTCAGTGAGCCAATATGAAACTGGTCCTCTGAAACTAATATTGTTTCCCTATTGCACACTTTCTCCTGTCTGCGACTTTGTTGCGTTGATATTTTTAAAGTTTTTCAGTGAATCAAAATCTTTTTAAAAATTAACTTTTAAAGATTAATCATGAACATTTTTATAGGCATTGATAAATTTCGAAAAATATCCAAAAACTACTACAAATATCATAAAATTTATAAATTATATTTTTTAATATTAAGGAAACTCGGAAATGGCACAAGTTGCTAAAACGAAACAGTGTTGAACTAACTTAGGTACCTGGCCACGTTCATATTAATGTCAATAGCCTGAGAAATTAGCTACCATAAAATAGTAGATACTCATATGACCTGAAACATATACAAGAATCCCAATCAGTCCACATCGAACGGTGATTCAAATTGGGTTTTTGCTGTACATTAGGAACGTGCTATATATTCATATATACAGATAAAAAAGCATGCTTATTAAAAAGTTAAATCAGATCTAAGCAGTTCGATAAGCAACTTTTAACACATGTTCCGTAGAGAAGTTTAAGTGTACAGGAAATGTACGATCAATCACCAACAATGGCAGAAGAAGGTGCCCCTCGGGGGAAAAAAGTTGAACGGAGTGTAGGTGATTTATCGGGGTAGTTAGAATTATCGCCATTTGCAATTCTTGCCGCGGCGAGTTTTAGCAAACAAGTTGGCGCGTAACGACTTGTGGGAGGCGCATTTTAAGCGACGTTTCGAAACTCACTCCTGCGTTTTATTCGAGTTATTAATTAAAAAAATATACACGTGTGCAATTCACACGTGGTAGAAGTGAAACCTTCAAAAATTTTAGCTTCAATATTGAGAAGAATGTAAAATTTCGAGAAGAGGATAATTGTAGGTTTTAGTAATGATTATTTTATTTTTTTCGTATATACTAACATGGATTTATTCAAAATGTATTAAGCACGAATATGAGGTACGAAGCACAAAGAGCGAACACGAATATAACTGTATAGTGCTTCCTATCTCATTTTCTCCCACGTTAAATAAGTGTTTCGGGTCTCCCTCACATGTCGGCCTGGGGACCGGCGAAGGAGGCCTAAGAAGACGACGTGCAAGCTACTCTGCACGCGTTTTATGCATGAGCATCCGGGTGATGGAAGGCCAGCTATCCTCAACCCACGCTGGTTCTGAGCCAGCGGGGTATTCCGTAGGATAGACCATTCTAACCGGCGCCATCTAGGCGGACTTCGGACAGCCTGCCGACCGAGAGGGCTGGTGGTCGTGGCGCCGACGACCGCCAGTCCGGCGTCCCGAGGGGGAGGGTGATGGGAGAGATGTGCTCCGCACTAAACGCTTCACTTTCCCCCCTTTGCCTCTTCATGAGTTCTATCTCATGCGAGGTTTGGACGTTGGTTGTTGAGCGACAGGAGGTTTTCGAATCACAACGACGGTAAAGAAGTTTTCACAAAAAAATTTAGAAAATGTTATAACAATAGACACAGTCAGAAATTGTCTTTTGGCAGGAACCAATTTTCAAAGTTTCTCTGGGAGTTTTTTTTTTTCATACAAATATAAACTGCCCATAATTCTATTTTCTGCGGGTGTTTAGATACTCTGTATGTATGAATGAATTTGGATTGGATATATTTGTGTATTACCATTTTTAATGCAGGACAAACACTGTTCTATATTATGCAATATTTTAGCCATTTGTATCTGAAAATGTGTACAGTTGCGACGATTGTCGAAAGTCGCACAAATAAGGAGTCCGATTTATCGCTTGAGGCGACGACAGATGACACCCGTGGGACGATTCAACGACCTGACTTCAGCTTTAAGTCGACGGTTTTCCCAATCCAGAAAACTTCGAAAAGATAGGAAGGTAAATCGATCCTTACGACTTGAGAAACATTTCTTTAATACTAAATGTTTTAAATAATGACGTGCATTATTGTTAAGAACTATTAAAAAGAATCTTACCCAATATCAAATTTAACAGTCATAGAAAATATTTTACTTGTGTATTACAACCAAGACTCTTATTACTACGTTTTTTTTTTGGCGTTAATCAATTGTTAGGTTGATTACAACCGTGATTAATTCCGAAAGTACTAAAAAATAATCTAGAAGATCCATGTGTTAATGTGTGATTTTGTGTATTTACCAATATTTAAGAAATATTCAGTCGCGCTGCTCGCGTGTGAATATAAGTAGCCTTCAAATTAACACCAACATAACAAAGTCAACACCAACGTAATCACAAACAGTTTCCGTGTAATAAACGGTTCTGGCATTGACGTAATCACCGGTCTTGATCCCCAACCCTTAACACGGCCGGTCGTCAAGACCGAAAGACATTAAACTGGATGTAACGGCCCGTATGGTCGCTCAGCGATTATCTTAAAGTTAACCCTGTCGTTGCGATCCTTATTTGCGGTTCTGTCGAGCCCGAATGTCCCATGTTAAGTTATGTTGGCCGTAAGTTTGTGTGGAATAGAATTGGCCATCAACAATTTGTGTTTTACTTTATAAAATTTTTCTTCTTTAAGTTGGAAAAACACTATTATGAAACTTAGTAAAAAATGATCGATTACTTTCATGTTTGTGTCCCATAGCATTAATTATCCATAATATTATTCTAAAAATAACCACTATCATAAGAATCAATCATGTCGTAAACAACAGAAGCTATTAGATACTAGCCTATGCTAGCTATAAGGGGTCAGACGCAAGCCTATATTGCAATTGAGTTTGAATTTTAAATATCTTTAAAAAAATTCCAGTCCTCTCACCTTACAAAGTTATTATGCATGTGATTCTTAAGCCAAGAACGTAACAATACTTATCGTTGGCGACAGTTACAGCTGTGGAATGAGATGCGAACCCTGATGGCCGCTCTGCGTCGCATCCAGCCATTCGCCAGATATTGGGTCGTTACTGCACCTCTAACGTCAGCTTCAATTACTTTGAAGACAATGGCCCTGTTCGGTTCCTAGTTGGGATGTTTTTCTTGGATATAAAACTAAAGAATAAAATGTAACTGCAACATAACTATTATAAATAGTCTTTCTACAATATATTTAGTAGCTTTTGACAAAATATTTTCTTATTCGTCTCATATTTTAATTTAGAAAGTTATACATAGCTTAAAGCTAAACTGAACTGAACTAGTTATTAAATATACTTTAACAAGTAAAGGAAAAACAACTTCAATGCAAAGTATTGTTCATTTCATAGGTTTCATATTATGGCAACAGAAGGATGTAAAAAAATCGTTTCAAGTATCAAATGATTGTAAGTCAAATTTAACCTTTAACATTTTCCATAAATTCAACGTATTTCTCTCCTTCTAGCACTTCACGGCTTAAAATTGGTATACAGCGATTTAACAAGTAGCTTTCAAATTCACTCATAGGAAAGTGACAACATGCTTGAATGATTCCATGCGGTCCAACGCTGGTGGGTCCGGCAAAAAATTTAGTACCAAAGTTTGAATTTGCAGTGTAACAGTTGACTACCACTCTATATCCAAGTATTGCGTCCAAGATAATATCAACAAATTCATTTATAGACCATGCCATTGCCAGCGTCGAAGATTCCGCTCCATGTTTGTGCATAACTACTTCTGTGCCGGCTTTCCTCACCAGTCTCGTTAGCATATCAGCTTGGCATGGTTCAATACGATAATTTCGAGGAGTTAAATTCGAAAACAGCGGTATGATAGTTTTGTCAGAATGACCTCCTATTACCGGTACTTGTATCTCTTGTGCGTTAATTTTCAACGCTTTAGCAACAAATGATCGACTTCTTGACGTGTCTATATGCGTGATTCCAAACATTTTGGATGGATTGTAACACCCGTATTTATACATTACAGTACTTGCAAAAGGTATCAGATAATTTATGGGGTTGGTGGATATAGCTACAAACGCTTCTTGATTTTGAGCTGCAATGGCTTTGCAAAGTCTTTGAATCAATGGTGCATTAGCCCCGAGCATCTGTTCTCTTGTATTACCAGGCTTACGTGGCATTCGCGAGACCATTACAACCAAATTTGATGAATGGATGGCTTGTTCTAAATTAGTATCTCCAATAAAAGCAGAAACTGAAGGCCCACCTGGTAGATTGCTTAGTTCCAATTCTGTGCCTTTAATTCTATCATCGTCGTCATATAAATGTAGTTTGCTTACTTTAGAATTTCGCTTCAGAAAAAGAGACACATATGAACCAATATCACTTGCTCCTCCAATGACAGATACTTGTACATTTCTTTTTTGCAAGATCAGTGTGTTTTTCTTTAGCTGCGTTGCAAATAAACAACAAAATATTTTTTGGGTCATTTTTTTTCAATACTTTTGTAAAATATGTTTTTGAACATCACATTTTACTATTTTTGACTTTTTTATTGCGTGGTCATGATGTTTGCTGTAGGTACTAAATTGGCGTTAAGTTCACTGATAAAGCATAGTGATTTTATTCTCTTTGTTCACTGTAGGTACTTCCGTCAAAAATATCAAAAATACTGTCAAATATTTTTTTTTATATAAAAATTAAATCCTTCGCGGTTTAACACAGTAATCTTACTACTTTTTTTTCTACCTAAGCTGATAGCCTTGAGAGGCTATTTCAGCGTAACCTTAACTAGTAGGTGAGCTCACGGGGCTCAAACCGGAGTGATGCTAACACTGACCCTAGCAAGAGCAGTGCTTCGCAGAATCTATCACCGGATCGGAAACGCGACCGACTGAGAAGATCCGGCGAGAAACTCAATGGGCTGTTTCTATGGGTATTACTACTAATACATACTAATACTACTTGTACTCGTATGCATGGGGTTTTTCATTAAGTGCGCTCGAACTTAAGCATAAAATTAAAAAACCTGTTAAAGTGATATTGTCACTATTTTTGTTTTATTTTAAAGGCTGTTCCATGACATTATGTATGGAATATAATTTCAGACAAATGGCCGCCGCGACTCCACTGTAGGTGGTGTATCCTGGTGGACCAGTTTTCGCGATTGACAGCGAGACTCGTGACGCCCGACCGGCGGTCGTCGGCGCCACGACCACAAGCGCTCTCGATCGGCAAGCTATCCAAAGCCCGCTTTGATGGAAAAATGGTTAGAACGGGTTATCCTACGGAATACCCCGCTGGGCCAGCAGGGATCAAGGATAGCCGGCCTTCCATCACCCGGATGCTCTTGCGTAAAACGCGTGCAGAGCAGCTTGCACGTTGTCTTCCCAGGCTCCCCTCGCCGGTCTCCAGACCGACATGTGAGAGGAACCTGAAACACTTAGAGGACCAGGGCTTGAGCGAGACCCGCCTCCCTGGCCCCCGCTCGACGGCGGCGACCTTGTGCATCTCTCACGCGCCCCGCCGCCTTCTGCGAGATGCACTCGCAGAAGTCGAGCATCGCCTTTCACGACTCATCGCCGCCGAGCATCGATGCCACAACACTTAGCAACGACAAGTGTTGTGGCACTCTGCCGTCGGCTCGGCTCCGATCCGATGTAGGAACTCATCGAAGCAACCATGCCCAGTGAGCATGGTTGAGCAACACTAACTCTAGCAAGAGTAGTGCTTCGCAGAATCTACCACCAGATCGGAATCGCGACCCATAGATCCGGCAAGAAACTCAGCGGGCGAAACATCGACCTTGCGTCCTGAATAGCACCCTTAGGATATGAAGTTTACAAATTGAAATAGCATAGTTGGGATACCGGAGTAGTGTATTCTAATTTGTAGCCGGATAGAATAATAAATCATTTGATCATCGGCATGATTTTATTCTTGTTAATTATGTCTCAGTTCACACTCTAAGGTTGTCAAAATTGTAAAACTAAGCTCTTTGCTGTCACTTGTCTGCAAAAAACATAGCGCACTACGATTATCTATTCCATACCAATAAAATTACCCAAGTAAAATAATACACAATATTCTTTTAGATTCGAAAAATTCAAAGTAAGTTTTCCCGCGTATCATAGCATTATGATAGTGAATCGAAGAATATTCTCATCGTTGTTCACCACAACAAGAAGTTACCAAGTTACGGTAGTTGGCGCAACAAGCGAAGTCGGTCAGGTCCTGAGTCTATTACTGAGATCTTTACCTTTAATAACTAAATTAGTTGTTCACGATAACAAGGAATTTACTCCAGGTGTTGCATTAGATTTATCACAAATACCCAGTCCCTCGAGAATATTAGGATTGACTGGCGAAGATACCTTAGAACGAGCTCTTAAAAACTCTGATTTGGTCATAGCAGCTGGCGGACTTTCCCAACATCCAGATATAAGTGAAAAAGCTCTGTTGACAGCGAATAGCCAGTTCATTAAGTCTATCGTCTCGAAATTGGGAAGATCGTGTCCTATACCTTTTGTGGGAATAATTACTGAACCTATAAACTATTTAATTCCCATGACTGCTGAAATTATGAGGAATCACGGTGTTTATGGTGAAAAAAAGTTATTTGGAATAACCGAAATTGACGCCATACGATCGCAGTGTCTTTACGCCACGGAGAATAATTTGAAAGCAAACGATTGTTATGTACCTGTTATTGGAGGCCATTCAGATAAAACTATTGTCCCATTGTTGTCTCAAGCTAAACCCACTGTGGAAATGAAAGAAAAAGATTTAGAAGAATTTACTATAAAACTGCGAAATTGCGATGGTATGATAACAAAGGCTAAAAGAGGGTGTATTCCTAATTTGTCAGTTGCATATAGTAGTTTTCTTTTCACTAAAAGCATTCTCGACGCTTTAGAAGGCAGCCCTGCAAACATTCACGCTTTTGTAGATAACAATGACTTTGGTACATCATATTTCTCTGGCCTGGTGAATCTGGATAAAAATGGCGTCAAGGAAATGGTAAGGTACTCAGAGTTCTCAAAATTTGAGTGTGATTTAATTGAAAAAAGTTTGCAGCAGTTGCGAAAAGACGTATCTAAAGGAAGGAAAATATTGGAACTGGCGTAAATGGGCTTTTGTTATATTCCCATTTACGCGTAAAAATGATAATCGAAGCCTTTTCGAGTTTATTATTTTACTTTATTTACAAATCATCTCGGTTAATTTGTACAAATCACTTAATAATAATTAACTATCAACAACCTAGGAAAACCTAACCATATCACAGAGAACAATTATTAAGAATTAATTCAACTTCTGAATTAACGGTTTCAGGTCGATTTCTTGTAATAATTTTCATATCACAAAACAATTTAAACTCCACAGATATTTTAACGTTTTGTACTTTCTAGGAAAATTGATTAAAATGTTTTTTACAAAAAAAAAAAATTGTTTTTAATGAAACTTGTTCTTGTATAAACTTTTACAGAAAATATATTCACTATTTATTGAAATCATTCACTTTCCTTCTTCCGTCAATATTCGTATAGTCAAATACATATTTTAAATAAAAACAAAAAATTAATAAAAGTTGACATAACGAAATAACAAAACTCATATTTTTTTTTCAAAATCAAATTTGGCCCCAACCCAGTGTAACTAACACCACAATCCAGTTTCAAGGAAACTCTCACTCGTGGGTCCCAGAGTGGAAATTCTTGTCGTACAATCTGCATCTTAAGATACGACGACCCTGTGGAGTTACTTTAATCCAGACAAATACTCATCACTTGAACAAAAACAAATTACAAAATTAAATTATTTATAGTTGATTCCTCGTTGTCAACAAATTTCAATGAATAAATCTCGACCTGAAGAAATATATAGCTATTCCAAAACGTTTAATATAAAGAGGACTTACATTTACAATCTCATATTTGTAGACCGTAAAATCAAATACATTTATCCCTCATCTCATCCAGATGGACGGAAGATCAATTTCATTTCATTTTACAGTTATCTAAAAACTATTAATACCTTAAAACAAAATGCTAAAACGCGTATTAATCAATTGAAATACTGAACACTTCACTTTTGGCTATAAATTTGATTTTTAAATATAAAAGTATTTTCGAAAATCAGTGATATTTTTTCATAAACAATTTATGTAACACATTTATTTAAAGATGTTATATAATTAATTTAGTTTCTTAAATTTTCTAAACAATTTTAATATTTAAAAATATTCAATTAATAAAGCTAACAATTAAAAATAATAATTAAACACTAACGAAACAACGGTATAAGGATATGAAATGTTTTTCACGAAATTCATTCTATTGATCTTGTAACAACGGTAAACAGATTTTCACAACATAGAGACGCTTCAGATGTTCTAAGCTGAAAAGAAAACAAACAATTATAAATATATATATTTTTCTAACCGCTATAATACACATATACGTACGAAAAAGTATCAAGTTTATGGTTGTTTATATTAGTTGAAAAAAGTAACAACAAGCCGCATATTTTCACACCGTAGTGTTTTTTTACTTTTTTATAACTTAGATGGTTGAACGAGCTCACAGCCCACCTGGTGTTAAGGGGTTACTGGAGCCCATAGACATCTACAACGTAAATGCGGCCACCCACCTCGAAACATGAGTTGTAAGGTCTCAGTTTTAACAGTACAACGGCTGCCCCACCCTTCAAACCGAAACGCATTACTGCTTCACGGCAGAAATACACGGGGCGGTGGTACCTACCCGTGCGGACTCACAAAATGTCCTATCATGAGTAATTATGGAAATTATAATTTTGCGAGTTTGATTTTTATTATACTGTATTATTTGCTAGGTGACCCGGCAAACTTCGTAGCGCCTTAATCGATAAAATATAAAAGACCTAAACTTTTGTATGAAAAAAAAAAGGAATCCGTCCGACGGGGGGGGGGGGGGGTCACGTCAAAGAACAGAAGAACAGGAAAACAAAATTGTTAAGATTTATTGTTAAATTTTTGAGACTAACGAACAGCAATTCATTTTTATATATATATAGACATATAGATTGTTTATGGGTTACAGTAACTAATGTTGTAAGCATATAAGAATTAGTGGCATAGAAGCTGCGCTACACTTACGACTTCATTCCTCATTACTTTTGCTGACCTCGCTGCTGGAGTCGCTCGCGGAAGTCGAGCGCATGCTTATCGACGTCTCCTTGAACTGGCTGATGAAGTCCAGAAGCTTCTGGAGGTTTCTCTGCGTGTTGATCTGGTCGGCGAGCAGTTGCCGCTTTTCCGCGTTGTGCTCGTCGAGATTCGCCTTGAGCGTGGCAGCTCGGGTTTCCAGTTTCCGTAACTCGACGCACAGCTTTATGTTTCGCTCTTGAAGGCTTTTGCGTTCGGCCAGTTTATCTGGTATTACATCGTGTAATAAATATCAGTTCATTGTGGCGGACTATGGGAGAGGCCTACATCCGGCAGTGGAGAGATGGATGATAATGAATAAATATCAAAACCCTTTTTTTCTTGGACAATGACTGATAATTGATGGTTAGCGTGGTATGGACATGTGAGCGTAGATAGAAGATGCATGTGATTAGGAGATGTATGGAAACGGTAGTGCAAGGTAGAGGGGGAAGAGATCGACCGACGAAGACATGGATGGAATGTATGAAAGACGATATGAGAGAGAGAGAGAGAGAGAGAGAGAGAGGAGTGAGTGTTGAGCTATCGGCTGATAGAAGAAATGGAAGAGAAAAATTAGCTGTGGGATAAGGTGGGGAAAAAGAAGAAAAAGAAGAAGACTCATAATTGGCATTAATATCCTAGTGCTATCGTAGATGCCATCGGATCCGGATTGAAAGGTGCGACAGCCGCTATGCCATACAGTTGCAACTTTAGCCTCGTGCCCCAAGACGGGGTTCATATTATGATGGTCCATTGAACATAGCATATAGAATATAAACGAGTTCGACCGAGCGTAGCTGGAATAGAACTTTAGGTTGCAAACGAATAGGTAGGGGGAAAAAAACAAACGAACAAACACAGAAACATCGATTTTTGTATACATATATAAATATTATTTCACTAATGTTAATTTATAGAGACTAGCTGTAACTAGCGGCTTCGCCTTCGCGGTCAAAGAAAAGTGGTAGTATAAGTTTCCCGTGGAAATATTTCTTCGGGATAAATAACTTTTGTCTTTAAAAAAATCATTTCAATCCGTTGCTTCTTCTCGACGTGAAATAACGACGAATAAATACACAAACAAACAAACCTTTACATTTAAAAATATCAGCGTGGACAGTATGTATCATCATACGTACTTACTTCTGTACAGAGAGTCGTCGAGTAGTTGTTCGGGTCTGTGCGCGGGGGGCAGGTGCGCGGGGTCGGGGAGCGGGGCGCGGCACGCCCCGCACCTCCCGTCCGCGCCGCACCCCGTGTGCATCCATATGTTGCAGCCCGCACACCACACCAACAGCGACGGCACATCTGGGCAATAAATAATAAATATCGTTCTGAAGGATATGTACGGAATCTTTTTTTGAAGTGAAACTTCTAATGCGACTTCCAACAAGGTTGCTTTTTTCCCCACCTAAGCTGAGAGCCTTGAGAGGCTATTTCAGCGTAATCTTAACTAGTAGGTGAGCTCACGGGGCTCAAACTTAATGAGGTTGCTAACACGAACCCTAACAAGAGCCGTGCTTCGCAGAATCTAGTAGTATACCTGCGCGTAGTATACCTGTTACAGGCCAGCGCGAGCGTTAGCAACGAGTAGCGTCCAATATTTAAATGAAGTACTTATTTAAAAGAGTATATATTCATTATTTTTTTTTTTTATCTAAAATTTAAAATATGTAATATAATATGAATGTTGAAGATTTCGCATCTCTTATACACAGCATTCCCTATTACAAGAGCAATCTGATTTAAGGTTGAAAAATGAAGAAAACCACATTACCTACGACATAACGAAATAGAAGATTCACTTCATTCACGTGCACCAAGTTGCACGCGCACCGTTTTATTTTTGTGGCGTAGACGAGCTCGCAGCCCGTTTAAATGGAACGCTATAAAATACGATTGCAACTTCGACGTAGTCTCAAAGCGAGTGACGTCATTCACACTGTGAAGTCTATGGCAATACAATTAAAAGGGAACATCGCGGGACGCTCGACAGAAGTGAGAACTTAAACTAAGTTGAACTATTTGATATTGAAATTGTTTAAGTAGAGACAAGCTTAAGTTATTACTTAAGTTTTATGTATGTATATTAATATGATAATGTAACGAAAATTGAAACATAAATTGAAAAAGATATATAAATAGTTAGGAGGTATATGCGTTTTCAGTACCGCTGCCGTGTGCGTGAGAGAAAGGGAAACCAGATAGACTGGCACCGTAACGCGTTACGTAACGAAGTCCTTTTACCCCTTTACCCTCCTATATAAGAAGTTATCCATTCAAAACATGAAAAAAAAAAAACGCACCGTTCCTTCCGCAGCCGTGACAAACTTTCTTCGTCGAAGGATATACGGGCTCGACAGACAAACTTGGCGGCAAAGACGCAACCCACGCTGGCTTGTTGTTACTCCAACCCGCTGCAATCAATCAAAAATACGTCTAACCATATATTAGCAACTCTTTTAAATAACTCATAATACATAACCATTGAGGTAGCTTTTGATACCTTTGTTTTCGGTTGACGAACCTGACGGCGAGCCTTCTCTTGACGATTTGTTTTGTGACGACTGAAATAATTTAAACAATACATACTATAATTACAACCATACAACGTATTAGTACTAGTATTGTTAATTTAGTACAGGCCTGCCACTTTTATTAATTACACAGAGCACAGGTGTTCCTGCGCAGAAGTCTTAGTAAATACTGAAAAGCGCGATTTTTTTTTGCCGCACGCGTTAATGTCTGTTCCTACTCCAGCTGAGCGAGATAGCACGAGTCTCTCGTTTTGCTATCTAAACATCTTAAGGTAAAGCAATAAAGTTTATATTTGAATGGCGTTAGCATGCTCTCTTTTGTGCAAACCAATTTTGCCATTGCATAAAAGTTATAGATCTGTACTGAAATTATTATAATATTATAGTTTAATATTATCGATTTAAACAAGTCCAAATCGGAAGTATAATACAATAACTTTTCAACGTATATATTTCATGCTATTGTTCTAACCGCATTAAATGGATTGATAAAATACAGATTAAACAAAAATGTGAAAAATGTGGTTTTTATCAAGTGACCTTTCAGTTAGCTCTGACGTCTTGGACATAAATCCAAAGAAATTTACCGAAAGTTTCAAACTTGATTGACTTCATAATTTCTATAATTTACAAAGAATGGAGAAAACATAGATATTATGGCAACTACAATACGAAGTTTAAATTTCTTACCAGTTGCTTACGTAGTTTTGCTGAACGAGTTTGTGGTGGATCATTATTCGACTGAAGATATGAAAACTGATTGTATTTCTTACGCTTCTGCAATACAATGAAATCATAATAATTATTTTAAATAATAAAAGAATAATTAAAATTTAAGAAAGATTAAATTAAAGAATAATTAATTTAAATCACTACCCCCAAAGTTAAATATTATTTAATATCATAAAACCTTTCCTACTTAAATGCAAGTCTTTCGCTACGGGAGGCCTTGCTCTAAGCCGTTTCCCAGGAAACGGAGCTCCATACTGAAAGTGCGCACATCACCCATCGCCGGCGTTTTTTAGCCAGTGACTATAGTCACCCAACGTGTATAGGCGGCGTTTTCGAGCCAGTGACTATAGTCACCTATCGTGTACAGGCGGGGTTTTGTGGCGGATGACTATAGTCACCGATAGCAGCGAATGGCTTAAGGAACGCTAACTAATTCGTAATTGGACTGCGCGATACGCACTCACCGGCATCATTTCATAATTTGCGTACACAAAATCAGGTTTGTTTTCAGAAGCCCTCTTGCGTCGTTCTTCAATTTTGCGTTCCAGAAGCTCCCTATGGTACGGCGTCACCAAACCGAGGAGCCTGTAACAGATTACATAAAGAAATTTATAAGGTTGTTGTTGTTATAACGGGAACGGTATATAGAGAAAGAATAGCCTTGTCCCTTGAGCGTTGTTAAAGGTGACCTAAGGGTTATCCATAAAGAAAAAAACAGCACCTTTCTGTTATACTGTAGCAGACAGATTGCCGATTCACGAGTCAAGTGTGGTAATTGTGGCAATATGTAGTATATATTCCGAGCAGAGTGTAGAGAGAAATATATAATATAAAAAGCCATTTAAATTGTTTTAAGCCTTCGCTTATTCCTGTACTGTAAATGCTGTCATATTTTAGCCTTAATTCCTGATATTTCAACGTGGAATTGCTACCGCGACGGAGCTTGTATTTTATAATTACTCATATTTTAATTTATTTTAATTAAATTAACAAAACACTAACCAATCGATAAGTTATCGAATATGACAATAAAATTCCATATTTTTTAAATAAGATTTGAATTTAGAGTTTATTGCCAGCTATACATAAATTTCATTTCAAATGGCCAGTATTACAAAATGACAACTTCATAGGTAAAGACATATTATTAACTCACACAAAATGGTATAGTAGGCTGTATAGATTTCACAGTAAAATAATGATATGAGCATCTAATTAGGCACCTGTCATAAACTCATTATCATGTTAACAAAGAGAATATATGAAAAGGTTTCAATCCAAAAACACTTACATCATAAAGGTTTCCTGAGACACAGGCTCTAGGGGTGGAGGTGATGGACTTGGAGATTGCTCTGCGTTTGATGAATCAGTATCTGATCTTGGTTCATGCCATTCACTGTGATCTTTGCTATTTAAAAAAAAAAACTTTTGTTAATTATTTTTAATATAAATCTTCTTTAATCTAAATCTTTTACTTCTTTATTGAAATTACTAAATATAAATTTTACCAACTATATTTTGTAGAAAATGCAGGTTTATAAGAGGCCATTCCCAAAGCCAAGTAATTTAAAAATTCCAAAAAAAAAACATATTCTAAAAGATATTAACTGTCTAAGTTAGGCCTTAATACTTGAAGTAGCAGTCAATTAATGACTACACTCGTCTTTGATGGATGTGACAATACACCCTTGCATTCCCTTGAGATCTGATGAACCTATATGTCACTTTATATTTTATTGTTTTCAGTGCATCCATGCAGAAACTCTTCTTAATCATACCTCTTGTGCAGGTTCATCAATGGTCGTTGCAGGCCAGTGCAATGTTCCCTGAAATACTAACCTGTCTTTGGGAACAGTTCCAATTTTTTATAATTCTAATTTTACTTACACAAGTGTTTCCTTGACTTTCTTCAGAGCATTAACAAAATTACTCCTACTATCTTGTACAGAATTATGATACTGGGCAAAATTTCTGTGATATTTTTCTTTTTCATCACTTTCACTATTGTTGGAGTTATCCTTTTCTAAGGAAGATTTCAATTCATTTTCTGAATCAGATATGCTTCCTTTTATGGCATCATTGTGATTCTCAGTCTTTATATGTATTTCAGTAAGTACTGATGGTTTAAGAAGTGATATTTTTCTATTCTTTCCATTATATTGAAGTTGATGGTCCCTTAGCTGCTGAGCTACATATTGATTGTCATTGTCCATATTAATCTGCTTATTTCTAGATTTTAAGCATTGCTGATATAGTTCTAGTTCTCTCCTGAGTCTATCTACGACCAGCTTCTGTAAGTAAAATATTTCTTGGAGTAATGTAGTATTTTTATGAGTAACACTTTTGATATGAGAAATACTTTTTTTATTAGTAATAATTTTTATAACTTTCAGATGTTGTAAATATTTCAGATATTTAGACATTTTTAATAGTTTAATTTAACACTTACTTGTGCATGTCCAATTGCAATGATTTCATTCTCAGCTTCTTTGACCTTTGTTTTAAAAAGAACATTCTGTAATGATAAAGAAACATTACTCTTGAAACTTTTTATAAACTTGTTTACACAAAATAAACAAAACAAAATAAATAATATATTTAATAAGAACTTAATAAATTTATGAAAATACAAATGATTCAATATATTATTATGCTTTAGACAGATACATCTCTATTATCGTTTACGTACGTTTTCATCTTCATGTAATCGTGAAACCCACACCTGAAAAGAACAAAAATTAAAATTTGGCGTAGTTCAATCATTGAATTTTTTTCAATTTCATTAAAATTCTAGAAGAAAAAGAATCACCAACCTGATGAACTCGTATCGCATTTTTTAAGTCCGTTTGAGTTTTACGGATATCTTCTTTTATTTCATTTGACACTTCCATTTTAACAACTATTAATTAAAGTTTTAAAACACAATAACTTTCAACAGCTTTATCTTTGATTATTTACAACACAATTAAAAACATCGCAACAACTAAATTGAAGCACTGAGAAGGAAGCGCAATCTATTAATGAAATTACGGGAGTGATAATCAGGTTTAAAAATTCTTAATATAACTTTACTAAAAAATAGAACTTAACACACAGTTTTCTAGTTTTCACGAGAATGTGTTGCTTTAGGTATGAATATACTTTAACAGTGTGATGTGTTCAATTTTAATTATCGTTCTTGTATACATACTTAACTTATCCATACATAAATAGTTTTAAATTGAAAAGTAGCTCAGACTACAGTAAAAAGTAGGTAAAGTCACAAAGTGTACAGTGTATACTCTTTCAAAGTATTATGTACTGGACACTCGTGAACTTACAACACACTAAATGCAGGCAAACTGAATTTGGCCCCCTTTTTTTTACTGTTCGGTTTTTTTTATTTTCAATTATTTGTTCCTCGTTTGTTCGTTAATGTTCAAATGTAAAAATTGTTTGTTCGTCTTTTATTTATTTATAATTAATTAAACAACTGATCAACCTTATGTTAGCCCCCTTTACTAGATATCTTTATTTTTATCGCTCAGATTAATTAATTTTGATCAATTATCGCTTGATCGATGACTATTGGTGATTGTTCGATCATAAAAACAATTGAATTCCCAATTGTTAATTATTTTATATCTAATAAGCAAACCATCACCTCACGCCTACATTGCGCATGCGCCGGCTTTGTCAATCAGCTGGCAATGGCCGTATTTCTCGAATATAATAGGTGTATAATCTATGGCCGTATTTACTAGCGTTTTGTTAACAAGTGCTTTTATACCACTGAAGTATGAAACCTATGGAAATGAAACGTCAACAAAAAATGCGTGCCACTGTGATGTCATATGGCCGCTAAACATGGCGGTTTTAGTGTTGTCCAGAAGATTTTAATGTTATTAGATTTATCGATAAACTTTCTTTGTTCATTTTATTTTAAATATTGTTGAGCATTAATTATTTGTAAAATTTACACTTTAATAGGAAGTAAGTATATTGTTATGTGCAATGATGATGTGATTTAGATGTGTGAAATCTAAGACAAGTTAGTGCTTCAAATTTTAAGTACACGATATGACGATTTTTAAAAGTTGCTACACTGATCTTATACAACATGTAACATATTTAACGCACACCCTCAAACACCCCAATTAGACTTTAATAGTATAAACGCTATGCATACACCAAATATTATTTATATGTGCGTTAACATTGATTATTTGTGAAATTAGTTATTCCAATTTCGTGGAAATAAAATGGTCACCGATTCACACTTCGCTGCGCACGCACACACAGACACGTACACACTCGCCGCCGCGCCGCGCCGCGCCCCTTGTTCAATGCACTTTAATGACCGTTTTCGTATTTGTTGTTTTATTTTAGATAATACTGCAATGTCACTTTTCACTTTATCAAAGGCGGTTATTATCTTATTCTTTAGTTCTTCGGCACTTATTGTCTGTGTGTTATAAACTAGCGATTTAATTCGCCCCCACAAAAAAAAGTCGAGAGGCGTCAAATCAGCTGATCTAGGAGGTCACTGACCGAAAATACATAGCGAAATACGGGAGATATTTTATTTGCACTATCACTTGACCTCTTATCGATAAGGTGGACGCGCCGTGACTGACTTGTCAAAAATATTTTGTTGACTTCGTTGTTTAGATTTTTCTTTGATCACCGCCGACGC